ATATTTGTTTGTTTCATTCAGTTTATGAATTACAATAATCAATGCAACTCTTGTAAAACTAATGCCTGCCACATGTTTGATTATTGTACTCTGAGATGGGGTCTGAGGCTGCTCTGGTCATGGAAGGACGACGTGGAAAGGTGCTTGAACGTCCCTGGCTCCAGTTTGTTGGGCTGCACTGTCGGTGGGTGAGCAACATCCATGTCTTGGTTTTGAAATTGGAATTGGAACACTTCACCAAACATATCTGCATTCTAACTGGTATTTTTATTCTGCTTTGAAATTTCACCACAAATCAAGGCCTGCTCTATTTGTTTCTTCTTTACAAAAGGCAATTCTTTCATTTGGACATATAATAAGCATCCTTTTCCTGATTTATGAGGTGTTTAATGCACATTATTCTTGGAAGTGTTTTAGTAGTAGCAAGGGTACGTAAGTATTCATATAATGCAACCCATATCCTCATTTGCGGTTTAGAGTTTGGGTTAATCCATATAAATTCTACAATCATTAGGATGGTAGAGAGATTTGAACACAAGACATACTACTCTAATACAACGTTAAATCACTTGTTTCGAAACTTAAGATGTTAGAGTGTGTACCATAAAATTTATATCCTCAATAGTTTTTTTTATTGCAAAGACGCTGATGAGATTCTCAAAGTGTTTAATTTGCAAGTATCTAGTTCTTCTACCCAAAGTACTATCAGTTGCACCAGTATGAAGTTCTGATGCAGTGCCATTTTGGGCCTCCATTCCATGATCAACCCTTACTATGAACTGGTGTGGACAATTTATAGTGGTCATGAAATAGATATGCAATATGGCTTGAAACGTCCAAGGCCCAAATTTCATAAGCCCATACTTAAAAAGAGCCCTAATAGCCCAGCTGCTGCAAGGCAATAACAATTGCAATATATGGTTTGATTTGATCCATGTGGTTGGTTGCCTTGGTTCTTAATGAACTTCCATCGAGTATCCTTTTTTCAGCTACAGCCTACAAGCCTAAGACCACAAGAAAGAATATTTCTTCTTGTTACTTTAGAGCGATAGCTAATGGGATTTGAAAGTTAGCATTTATTCANAAGACCACAAGAAAGAATATATTTCTTCTTGTTACTTTAGAGCGATAGCTAATGGGATTTGAACGTTAGCATTTATTCACTAGGTTTATATTACTAGATCGAGATTCCATTCCACGCTGTTGAGCAATAGCTATTGTCAAGCTTATATTATTATTAGATCGAGATTTTACTAGTATAGTTATTTTTGCCCCTGTAAGATTAAGTGTTTCCAGTTTCTAGGAGAAGATGGAAAACATAAACATACAAGATAGTTGTGATCCAGAGACTCATGTCATTCTTTTAAGTGAGTTAGGGTTACTACCACTGAAGTTAGCAGCTGTGATTCAGATGTTTTTTTTTTGTTGCTTTACATGCAGTGCAAACCATTTATCTTGAAACTGGAATCATAGTCACAGGGTCATCATCCAAAAAACATGATGTTAACAGATAAAATTATCTATCGCTTGCCCAAAAAACACTAAAAAAACAAGGAATAAAANCATCCAAAAAACATGATGTTAACAGATAAAATTATCTATCGCTTGCCCAAAAAACAAGGAATAATACTTCTTTGTGCTTACGGTGGAGGATATGACTCTAGTTAGTAGTTATGACATCAATTAGCTAAGGGTACTGGTGGTTGTAAAAGGTCAAAGGTGAATGGAGCATCTTTGTGCTTTTCCCATGTAGTGAAAACTAGAAAGTTGACATGACATTTGCTTTAGCTCATGAGCTCAAGAATAATTATTAATTACAGCTACAAATCATACGTTAGTTCAGAAATAAACAAGGTGACACCAACAAAGAACCTCTTATATGAAACTAGGTGCATTAATTATATCTGTTTGGCCCATACCCTCATAATGTTGACCTCTGTGCCGTTGGTCCAAAGAGGTGCCATCATTTTTTCTATGGAAAATCCGTTTTAACCGCAAGTTGCAGTAGTTATAACACAAAATATCAGATACACGCAATCACCTACTAACCATGCACATCGCTTAAATTTTATACAATCAAACAACTCAAGCTTTAGACGTGTGAATTTACATCCAGTGCTCTATTTGAGCATGGAAGCAACTGTGCAGGGTGATGCTGTCTAATTTTATTTGGCTCCTACTTCCACATCAAAGGCTAGTTATGGACAAATCGATGTCACTATACGAATGAGTCATAGGATTAGCTCACTGGAGAACCCAATAAACAGTAGAGGACATGGGTAACAACAAGAGCAAGGAGTCGAGCTAATGGTGGAAAGTAGTTGCCAATATATGATTTACAATGTTCTAAATGGCCTCACTATCTTTTGGATTTGATTTTGACAAGTTTCAACTACTACCAACCCCATGGGCCAAGCAGGGTGAGTATGCTCGCACTATACATATAATGTTACTTGAACATAATTATTTCATGAATCGATATGATTTATTATTATTATTGAATTGACGATACATTATAATGGATCAGATTCATGTCCAATTCGTTGAGAGTATTGGACTAGTTCGAAAAATTGAATCAAACACATTTAATCATAATTATATAACACAATGGATGAGATTCATGTCCAATTCGTTGAGAGTATTGGACTAGTTCGAAAAATTGAATCAAACACATTTAATCATAATTATATAACACAGACTGATATGTTTGAACATACAGATAAATAAATGGGTATTTGGTCCAATAGTACTCATTATCTTATAAAAACTTTACTTTCTTGAGATCAAGGGTTCAAGTCCTCTTCCTCTTCCCCTTCCCCCTCCCCCTCCCCCAAAAAAAAAAATATGATTGAAAATGCAAATGTTCATTAAGACATGTTACCATGTGAAATGAAATAATTTGCCAAGATGGTACATATTTGGCACTTAATGAAATTTGATCGATTTAATTGCAATGATACATCTCAACATAATTTGTGCTTCACCACAATCAAATAGGACAAAGATTGGCAAATAGTAGTCAAAATAACCTAGGTGAAATGAATAGGTTAATAATACCTCTTATTTTCCAAGTTTGAAAGTCATAAGAAACACGTTGATTAATCAAAATTGTATAATTTACGGGTGATTACATGCGTCTTAAATTTTCTTGATAACCATAACTTGAAAGGTTGTGATTTGAAACAATTCTCGATAATCAAGGGTTGTAGTACTTGTATTAGTTGTTCTTATTACTATGAATGGTATAGTGAGACACATTAAAATTTAAGAGGCAATCATATGCTATTTGAATTCATGATTACGATGCAAATTATAGTTTATGTAATCACTAATAACTCTGAAAATTAGATACATCGAATGTCTTTGCAAAATCATACTTAAATTTTTTTGAATTAGTGAGAGAACATGAATAATAAGTATACCATTGCCAACGTGGAGATTTTTGGATCGAAACTCTCCTATCCCTGTATTGATACTATTTTTTGATAAAAAAAAAAAAGGAGAAAGAAGTCAAGCTAATTCGACATGGGATTTCATGTCAATCAAGGTGAGATCAAACAACTTTATAACTATAAGGCCCATTGTATTAGGTCGCCTGGTCATTCATGAGTCAGCTTTGTTTGTTGTGTTTTCCTAAATCACATCAAGCTCAAACACATTTATATTATACACCGAGCTTTGAAAAAACGCCAAAAAAAGGGTCCATTACATGAAAAAGCAAAGCAAAAATCATTATCATCCCTTTATGTTTGCCAAACCAATATTTCCACTGTTGATATTTCAGTACCGGGCGAATTGCAGCAATGGATTTTATGGCTGATGTCTAACCGGCACGAATACGACAACATGAAACTAATTTTTTGCAGAACAATTTATTTTTATTTGGTCAAGACTAAGTAATAAGCGACTAAAGAATCTGTCTTTTAACTTTGTTAAATTTTTTTACATTATACTTTTAATGTATTAAAATTGTTTCAATATTACCCTTCTATTAGTTGTTGCTGAACAAACTAATTTTACCCTTTTTTGTATCATCCAATTCTTAATTTCATACTTGNAACATGAAACTAGTTTTTTGCAGAACAATTTATCTTTATTTGGTCAAGACTAAGTAATAAATGACTAAAGAATCTGTCTTTAACTTTGTTAAATTTTTTTACATTATACTTTTAATGTATTAAAATTGTTTCAATATTACCCTTCTATTAGTTGTTGCTGAACAAACTAATTTTACCCTTTTTTGTATCATCCAATTCTTAATTTCATACTTGTCCCCAAAAAATAAAAAAAAAATTATTAATTTGATAGACACACTAGGTTGCCAAATCGAAACAAACGAGGGAAGATAACTCATTCCACAATTCACAATTCTTTTTGGGATTCTCCTCACTACCAATGAAATATCAAGGGACAGAAATGTAACTTTACTAAATGCCAAGTGATGGCATTGAAATTTATCCTAAAAAGGNACCAAAAAATAAAAAAAAAAATTATTAATTTGATAGACACACTAGGTTGCCAAATCGAAACAAACGAGGGAAGATAACTCATTTCACAATTCACAATTCTTTTTGGGATTCTCCTCACTACCAATGAAATATCAAGGGACAGAAATGTAACTTTACTAAATGCCAAGTGATGGCATTGAAATTTATCCTAAAAAGGAACATTAGCTGGCCTTGTTCTTTATCTTGATCTAATCTAAAATTAGGATAAAGTAATGGGAAAAAGTTGTCATGTCATACCATACCAAAAAGAAAATGACTTGTGGCTATTGATGGTCAAAAAAAAATTGAAAAGAAATAAGAAAATAAGACAAGGAACTTTACACATGTTTCATTCTCATTTGTTGAAAAAAGACCTAATATTCTCATAATTNCATGGGAAAAAGTTGTCATGTCATACCATACCAAAAAGAAAATGACTTGTGGCTATTGATGGTCAAAAAAAAATTGAAATGAAATAAGAAAATAAGACAAGGAACTTTACACATGTTTCATTCTCATTTGTTGAAAAAAGACCTAATATTCTCATAATTTTTCGGTAACATACCTCTAATATTTAGGTTTGAAACATCAAAAGCCCAAACACAGGACACGACAATTATTGCAAAATTAGAAGATTAGCTTACATCAGAACCAGAAATTAGCATAGTGGGAACAACAGCAACAACAACAGCAAAAGCACCTCTATAAGTGGAGTAATTAAATTAAAATGAGATGCCAANTCAAACACAGGACACGACAATTATTGCAAAATTAGAAGATTAGCTTACATCAGAACCAGAAATTAGCACAGTGGGAACAACAGCAACAACAGCAAAAGCACCTCTATAAGTGGAGTAATTAAATTAAAATGAGATGCCAAAAAAGATTTGGTGGTAATCACCAAATCAATCTCATTTGGCTCTGTCCTTAATTACATCCATTCCCATCTCAGTTGGATCTGTTGCCTGAACTTCATAGCTAATGCCATCCAGCACTCTCCTCAACCCAGCTTTTGAGGTTGCATACAGAATTTTTGCTCTGATTCTTGATGCTGTTGGAGACCTGGAACACATATTCATAAACAGGATTGATCAGAAATATTCAGATCAAATTGAAACAATTACACTCAAATTCAATAGCATTGAGTCTGAAATTGCTGTGCTTAATTTCACATTTACTAAAGACCCTTCTGGTAAACAATTATTACTTTATGCAAGAACCCGTGATAAGCTAAGCACATCTAATATGAAAAAGGTATAACTTTTATTAAAGAGAGATTGATTTTTCACTAGCTATTTAGAAAAGGAAAAGGAAAATGAAAAGGTAATACTTTTTGTCAACCATTCTCTACCTACTGGATGATCAAAATGGGTGTACTTTCCTGACTAAGTCTAACAATTTTAGATATGATTTGTGAATTTTATACGAGAAATCGATACTATCTTCTGATAAATTAGTGGATAAGATAAGAATTAAACCCTTTTCATAGACCCAACATAATATAGATTCAATTATATACTAGATTAAACAAATTTTGACAGCAATACAACCCTCTGTCGGCGCCCACAACTAATAAGATAAGAGCTAAGGCTGTGGAGAGAGAAAGTCTAAGAAAAGAGTGACGGACCATGCGATGAAGAAGATCTTGCTTTTCCGGCAATTATCGACGGTGACAAAATCAAAATCGAACACGGCATATCGGCAATCATCTTTCGGCAAAGAAGCAGCCAGATCATCGTAGCTTTCTCCGGGCCCACCGACCTTATCAACGGTCACCAACCTCGATCCTTCATCAATCTTGAACACGATGTACCTGTGAACCTTCTTCCACTTCATGTCCATGAACGAGTTCTTGCACTCATCCGTCACCCACATACCCGTCGTCGCCTGTTAATATCAACAAACACACAGCACGAGATCAGATTACAAGAAAAATAGGTGTGTGTATATATATATATATAGATGGAGCTTTACCATCTTGAAAGCCATCGCCATGGTGGTTTTGGTGGTTAGGGATGGTGGTGTGAAGTCTTAGGTGTGAAGAATGTGGAGTGAGAANATATATATATATAGATGGAGCTTTACCATCTTGAAAGCCATCGCCATGGTGGTTTGGTGGTTAGGGATGGTGGTGTGAAGTCTTAGGTGTGAAGAATGTGGAGTGAGAATATGGTGGTGGGTTTTAGACTCTTATATAAGATTTGGTCGTTGAAATGCCATTAATGTTGAACTAAATTACGAGTTTGTACAAGCTAGATCTGATAGTGTATGGTTGATGTGAAATAACCAAATTGTCCTCAATCCGAGAGATATGAGCGGCGTGGACTTGGATCCTGTGCATAAGAGAATGTTGTATATACATATCGTTTTGCCCCGAGAAATGGAACTAATTGGAGCGTCAGTATGTGAAAAGAAGTCTCTCTTATAACAAGAATGAAGAATAACCCAATCCGACCCGGTCACAAAATTAATATAGAGTGACAAGACAATAGTACCAGACGTTATGAAGAGAAAATGTGTATTTAAACAAGTAAAAATATGCATAGAACAGGGCCTACNTATGAGAGGCGTGGACTTGGATCCTGTGCATAAGAGAATGTTGTGTATACATATCGTTTTGCCCCGAGAAATGGAACTAATTGGAGCGTCAGTATGTGAAAAGAAGTCTCTCTTATAACAAGAATGAAGAATAACCCAATCCGACCCGGTCACAAAATCAATATAGAGTGACAAGACAATAGTACCAGACGTTAGGAAGAGAAAATGTGTATTTAAACAAGTAAAAATATGCATAGAANAAGAAGTCTCTCTTATAACAAGAATGAAGAATAACCCAATCCGACCCGGTCACAAAATCAATATAGAGTGACAAGACAATAGTACCAGACGTTAGGAAGAGAAAATGTGTATTTAAACAAGTAAAAATATGCATAGAACAGGGCCTACCAACTATGGGAATGCATTTTTTTGCCCATCCGACTGAAAAATGGCAATTTGGTAATGGCAAACAAAAAAGGTTTGCCCTTAATGTTGTTCTTAATTCCTTGAATATATACATCTTTTTTGCAGCAATTTCAAACATCTCAACTAGTTCTAAGGAGTAAACAATGAGATTTGAACCTGGTTCCGTTTTTAATATTCAAACACTTACCGAATTAGTTATGTTATAATTTCTTTCTAACAGTTTAAAATTTTAGTTAATATAGTGGTTTAACAGTAACCGGTGATGATAATGTAGACGTAAGATATGACTTGAGACACCGAAGTATAATTAAAAAGAGAATCAAGTCTGCAGAGTACATACAGTATACAAATCTCCTTTCATATTGCACATATGTGTAGGGAATACAGTGGTCCCATCTCGAATCTCACACACCCTAAATCACTCTCTGTGTTCCTCAAATAGTCTTTGCGTAAAAGCAAAGGAGAGAGGATTTGCCACCTTGTATGGAAAACTACCCACAAAATAGTTATTAAACAGATGAAAAGTAAAAGCTTCTTCGTATGGATGAAACAATGCATAAAGAATGCCATCCACTTTACTGTTTAGGTTCTTTAGCCAACTTCCTTATCTTCTTTGTTTAATAAGTTTATATAATTCTTGGTCTATATAACTTCAAAGTTTCAAATCCCCAAGCTTCAGTTTTCCCATAAAATTGTCCATAGAATGAGCAGATAAGTGTGTGTGTGTGTGTGTGTGTGTGTGTGAGAGAGAGAGAGAGAGAGAGAGAGAGAGGGAGGGAGTCATGAAGAAAATAGTATACAAACACAAAAATCTAATAATGTCCATCACGAGCAGATGAACATATGGACGTGGATGAGGAAACCTGTCCCTCACAAAGGTGGACCTCCCTGCAGCAGAAACAAGAAACTCTACAGGCCCACAACTTGTGTCCATAACTGTTTTGTCTCAGAATCTGTAACTCTATTCCTGATGACTAAGATGGTGATTATGGATAAGTTATAGGCTACCTGCTTTGGGTTTGACCCCACAGATTCCTCTGTTAATGCCCAGCTTCTTCCTAATGGAAGTTCTCAACTTGGTGGTGCAGATTAAACTCTTAAAAGTTTAGTGGGAAAATTGCATACCTTTGGGTCCAGCCTTTATAGCAACTGATTATGAATGCCACAAGAACAATCTCTCAGGCAGGCCGCATAGGTTGTTATGATGAGATTTGTATGCATGGTGGAACAGTCTCTCGGCATAGAAGGGCAAAGTTGCATACATCTGACCCTCTCCTACCCAACATTGACGAATATCTCATGAACTAAGCTGGTGTTTCTGTGCTTCCTCTTTCATATGGTTATGCCATCAACTACTGACTATTCAGCAGGATTGCCATCCGAGCATTTCAGAAGGAAGAAGAGCACAATCCACAAGCAATGTCAAGGAGATCACAGAACACAATTGACATCAACTAAAAGAATTCACAAAACCAGGATATAGCATATAAACTATTCAAAAGAAAACACTGGGTTACTGCTCTTTATCAAGAAGGTATAACATGCTTCATAATTCTTTTGGTCAGACAAGTTGTTGTTGCGATAACATTTACTAGCAAACTCGACAGAAAACAGAAACCACTTAAAGACGGCAAAATATTTTCTCAAGGGGAGACATTCCATTTCCACAAATACTTGAGAACTGTCAAACACAAAAACAGCAGAAAAAAAAACTAATGCCAGTATCTCAAAAGATTGAGTTACAAACGAAAAAGCATGATGGATTAAGCAAAATTTGCGAAGAATAGAACAGTCATCTCTTGCTAAAGATCCAAATAGCAAGAAATTACTTCAAGGAGAAGGCTATAGCAGCTCAATCCACAATGGATGATTTCTTATCTTTGGAACCTTGGGTACAAACATAATTGACTTGCAGACTTTGCCTACAAAATTTCAAATTTTATTGATCAAACATCAGTTCTACAGAGTAAACACTTGCGGACATGCACCATATGCCAGCTGGTAGTTATTTCTCCAAAAAAGAACAAATCACAGATAATACAACACATGAATTAAATTAAGGATAATTATACAACAAGTGGAGTTCGGGCAACAAGAGATGATCTATGATTCCTACTGATTGGGAGGTGAACATAAACCTCGTGCACCTCCTGTTTACAAACCTCCCCCCTATCCCTGTCTATGGCATAGCACACATACACTGTATCAATGACATTGTCCAGGACATGCACAAAGAAACTCAGTATCACAATCAGCAGCACCCATGCAATGATAGCCACAAAGTATGAGTCCATTCCGAGGTGACTTACACCTTTCAATATAGCACAAACCTGCATGTTACAAAAACACTACTAAGAAAATCCAGATAGCAAATGAAAAAAAAAAATAGAAACCAAAATTTGTTGGTTGAAAGCTAATGAAAAAAATCACAATACTAAAATATTCCGGTTAGCTGACTGGTAAACTCCTTGGTTTGACAGCTGTACTTTACTAGACAACCCTAACATCTTCTGTTATCCTTGTAGAAATAAAACTCTCTTATTAATTCTGCCTTTCTTCTAATTTTGGACTGCCTTTAATTGTTAGTGTGACTCTCCTAACTCCTAAGGAGATAACAACCCTCATAAAAAACCTGATGCATTATTTGCCATGAAGAGCAATTTCAACTTCTCATTCTCATGGAACATGTGTAAAACAGATTAGATTGCCCTTCAGAAATGATGCACTTACCATATAGGAATCATGATAAATTTTTCATTCTAACATTTTTATCAAGAATCCTGCCATTACTCACCCACAAACCCACGATATATACTCTAAGATTATTCACAACTACTAGAGGGAAGAGATATAAGTAAAAAAAATCCCAGAAAGATAAAGAAATCACATGGGGCAAACCCAAGAGTATACTTTTAGGAAAACTACTTTAGCTGGTAAGGTTACCGATGAAATATTTGGTTTTTTCCACATATAGCTCCTCAACATTCAAGGACATTAACCCAGGACCAGCTCACCAAAAAAGGTTTCAGCCACAACTAGTTTCTCTTCCAAAAGATTCCTTATATTTTGCAAACAGCAGAATGATCAGAGACAGAGTGAACTGCTACTCACCACAATTGCATAAAGTGCTGAGAGAACAAAAATAATTCCAGCCAGTATACGAGTGGAGACAGTCTCCACAAAAACAGCTGAAAGAAGATTGCGTTTTAGTAGTTCATATGTCATCCTGGCAGAGGTGCAGTAAGCTTCACCAGTTATAGCTGCAAAGTTTATGGTGAACTTATTAAGAAAATCAACTGCTGTCAGTAGGGCATTAACGCAGCACCGCAGTATAAGGTTTACAATCCCCGCAGCATCCTCTTGTCTTGCATTATCAACCGCAGCACGCACCACACGAACAACAAAGACAAGTAATCCAGATAGACATATAGTTCCAGAGGAGGGGCCAAATACATGTCTGCAAGGGTTTACAAAAAATATCATGAAATGGGCAATAGATAGTGTAACAAGTCCAACTGTCGAACAGATGAATAAATATGGTATTCTGTGCATCCCACACTTTGGATCTTAATTGTGAGACCCGATCATGTGCACCATGCATTTAAAGCACACTTAAAACTTTACAAATCAAAATTGTAATTGGGATTTCGATCTTGGAAAAGCAGTGTAATTTCTATGAAAAACTCTAGGGGCTAAAGAGTAAATAACTCAGGGTGAGGAGTGTGTAATTTCTGAAATAATAAATCTGCAGAAATGTTTTGCACTGCTCTAACATGTTNTAAAGAGTAAATAGCGTAAATAACTCAGGGTGAGGAGTGTGTAATTTCTGAAATGATAAATCTGCAGAAATGTTTTGCACTGCTCTAACATGTTCTAGATGGTTCTTAAAAANCAAAGAGTAAATAACTCAGGGTGAGGAGTGTGTAATTTCTGAAATAATAAATCTGCAGAAATGTTTTGCACTGCTCTAACATGTTCTAGATGGTTCTTAAAAAAATAAAACAGTTTTCCTCAAATCTTCTCTCTCCTACAGTTTTGCTCCCAAACCAAATTCTTTACTCTTTCTCTGGAATTATAATGCTAATTAACTTGAACAACTTCTTGGAGGAAATTAACTGGGAGAAACTTCAGCTAATTTTTAAGGTAAGATATGATATCCTATCTAGATTGAATTTTGTTCACTTAAAGTCTGAAATTAGCTCATAGATGCATGAAATCAGGTTCTTGTTGCATGAAAGGCATGAGTTTTGCATACGTTATCATATTGAACTGGTTGAGAAAATTTGAGTATTGATTGTTCCTATTCCAAGTCCATTTAGCACCTGATTCAGATGATTGAAATTAGTAAGAAAACGATGTGGGTGATGTGTTGTTTAGTTTGAAGGGTGGCATAATGAATTTTAAATGAAAATGGGAATACATATACGAATACCAAGTGATCAATAAAATGCCAAAAAAAAAAAAAGAAAAGGAAGTCAGCCCAGCCATTGTTTGACTGGGTAGACGTCCTGCTCAACTGGACCCGTAATCATTGTGCAGACGTTCTACTCGACCAACTAGTCCACTCGTTGGTCCACCATCATGATCTTCTGCTCATTTTGTGTTGAAATTGATCTTTTGAGTTCCTTTTGCCCATATTGCACCAAGACATTCCTCAATTCAATCCTTAGTTTTCCAAGCCTTGCCTCACAATATGTTAGTTGGACTGTTTAGTGTCTGAAACAGTCTCGAATTCAAGGCAACAATATAATCTGACAAAGTAAGCTATGGTAACATAGTCCAGTGCATTCTAATTGCATTCACATGCTACTTTCATTGTAGTAGGTTCAAGTGAAGTTGGCTAGAATAGGCGGGGTTCAGGTGAGTATGCATATTTATAAGTACTGAAAATTCAGTGCATGTATGTCCTATATTATGCACTTGAATAATCAAATGAAGAAGTCTATGAAATGACGTGGGTTTGCAAATGTTATGGATCATATATGTTTTTTCCAATGTGCATGAGGTATGAGACAAAAAAAAGGTTTGGCATTACGCCACTGCTTCCCTCGGAGTGAGATATAAGGCCGCCGCTTGCTTCAGAGAGGGATGCAAATAAGTAAGGCTTCTACGCTAAGCAAGATGCAATGCCGGTATTAGCAGGAAGACAAAGTAGGTGAGGCAGTGAGGTTGTAACCCTGCAGGTATGGTAGTAGTGGAGGTCTAAGCTGTGACTCTACAGGTTTTTGGATGAGTAGTCAAGCTATCTAGAATATTACATTTCATGTATGTGCATTAAATGTGTTTAGTGTTTATGCGATGCAAGTTGGATGAAATTTTGTCTCTAATTGTTGAACTTGATCCCATATTTATATCTAATCTCTGCTTAGGGTGCATGTGTACTCACTGAGAACTATGATACCATATTCCCAACAGATTTTTTTTTTTTTTTTTTCACAAGCTCAAGAAAAGACGTGTCCACTACGAGATCAAGTATGGGAAAGAAAGAAGGTTGGGATGGGAAGGTTATGTAAACATTGCATCATATATACTCTCAAGTAATGACAAGGCAATGAAAATTGACTCTAATTTATTTAAGGTTATGTAAACATTGCATCATGTTTGCTGTCCTATGTTTATAAAAAGGACGGTTTTTAGATAAAGAAATCACATGCATGTCTCCATTCTGTGAAGGAGGGGTTGATCCTTCCAAGCTGGGGTGTTATATATATGATATTAGTACAACCAACATTCCAGATCTCAAAATGAATCTTTGTTACAAGTACTCATTTAATTCTAATTGTATCCATGAGATCAAGCATTTATCCAATTTAGCACAATCGTTTGGGCTATGCTTATTTTGACAATATGCAATACCGTGATTGCCAAACATAGAACACAGTGTTAATAGTTCATTTCCAAAAACTAAAACAAATTTTTGAATCCTGTTATACCAATCTAATATTTAGTGCAATGCCCCTCTGGTGGGTGAGCAAACCAACAAACACTTTAGAAGAAGAGTGAGTTTAATACATAACAAAAACAGAATTGCTGGAAAATCACCTGAGTGAGCTTCTTATACTTCGCTTTGGCCTAGAATCATCCTTTGAGAAGTACCATTGCGCAATAGTCCCACTGATAACATAAACCTGAGCTTCCACCATTACCAGTGTAGACCACAACATGGTAAGAATTGCCAGTGCATAGTACGCGGGCACCCAACTATCCAGCTTCCAAACACAATTATATTCTCCATCATTCTCTCTCGGAACAATCTTCCCGTTCAGCCTCGCAAACACCAAAAACACAACAATGGGCACGTAATACACAAGCAACCCCAACGTCAAAGCAGGTAAAACCCCAAACAAACCCAAATTGTTAGACAACGCATTCGAGGCCACAGCAATTATCTTCACAGTCAACTCAACTCGGTGCCAATTCACCACAAATATCCACACAATCACTCCAATCACCAAAAACACAAACACGAGTACTAAAATACGGTAAGCCAACGGAAATGCATCACTACAAGTTGAACTAACAGTACAAGCAACGAACCAATATATATTAAAGAAAATGGGAACTATAACAAAAAAGGGTAGCGAAACGTAGACAATCTGTTTGGTATAATGCTTGAGTAGTAAAAGAACGAACAGCACAAAGGGTACACTCAAAATCAAAGTAATTACAAGGGTCCATATCAAACTCTCCCAAAGACTCGAATTTGAAGAGTTCAATGAAATGGGTGTACCGAAAAAGAGTTGCTTCTGATAGTGAAACGCATTCGTAGATGAATTTTTTATGCAAGAAGATGAAATGGAGTCGAATGCAAAAGAGGAGATGTTATTGGAATTAGGGTTACGATTAACGGAAGCAAAGATGCCCAAGGCGAAAGTGGAGAGAACGAAGAGGAGGAAGAGGATGAGGAAAGGGAGGTCTTTGATGTGTCGAGGTCCGTAGTTGTATGAAATCTGGAGGTACTGTGTCTGGTCCGGCTCGGAGGTGGCTCCGTCTATTTGAGAGATCGGCGCGTCTATGGAAGGGAAGTGTTTGGAGAGAAGGGGTTGGGATGGAGAGGATGGGGGTTCGTAGAGGTTTAAAGGTTTGTTGGACTCGTCAGTGCTGCCCATGGCATTCACAGAGAGAGAGAGAGAGAGAGAGAGAGGGGCGGTGGGGTTGAGAGAATTGAATAAAGAGATGGGTGCTAGGGTCAGTAATGGTAATTGATGGAGTTTTTCATGTTGCAGATTTGGGGAGTCGTTGTTGACTATTCACCTGAGCTGGAGGTGATGGTGGGTTGGTTGGGTTGATCAGAATGACAACAGAGACACTGTCATTATCAAATTAAAAAATAAATATATATTTTTCTTTCTTCTGCAATTATCTTTCAAACTCGCAGTCAAGCCAATAAGAGACCACTAACAGTTACAGTATCTCGATGCTTGTTTCTACTGCTCATCTTTACGAGTTAGATCAGTCAAAAATTTTGTTTTTGCTTTTGCATATTTACGTAAAATCTTGACGTGGTTTTGAATATAGTTATTTTATTATGATTTAAATATCAAGAGTTTAAATCATAAAAATTAACTAAATTCTAACTATAATCTAGAATTAATTAATTCTCAAACAATTGTAGAATAAAATTCTTTAGCGAACATCTTTCAAAAACATGTATGTGTATGATTTGATCCCCCCTCCCCCTTCCCCCACCCCACCACTCAAGTTTTAAAAATTATGCTTCAAACCTTTCTAGTTATGTTAATACCTCTCAAATTTTCAAATTTATAATTTACACCAATAAAATTATGTTTTTGACATTCATTATTCATGGCTCTCCAATGTTCTCTAAATTATACTTTTATAACTTTTCAAATATGATCTTGATTTTCTCTTATCCATCTATTATTGAAATAGGCGTCATAATATAATGGCAAAGAATATAATTTGCATAAACCCTACATATCAAGTCCAAAGTCCTCATTGTGTTTTTCATTTTCTAATTTGTAGAGCCACGATGAGATTTAGTTATTCTTGAGCGATAATACGATAACAATTGAACTTCATTGCTAATTATTTGATGAATTGACTTAAAATTATTCATCCAATTAATTTAACAAATTTGAATTAATTTCCTCAATTTTCTTGAACATAGAATGATATAACATGTCATATGAAAATTAATTTTATATAGCTTATACAACAAAAAAATTCTAATAATATTATTTATATCCCAAGGAAAAAATCTTAAGCTCATCAAATATACGCAATCTAACCCCGCAAAGAGAAAGGTTGTTTTCGCAACAATAATCTAACCTACCACTCCATATGGTTCTTCACAGTTTCTTAAGCAATCCAACCTAATAGCCCTCATAATGCAGAGAACTATAATTTGTACATTGCATTTAGTACGCAATAATAAAATAAAGTTAAAATGAAATGAATAGAATGGAATAGACATTCCCATATTTGACGTCTATTGAGATTAAGTGTTAAAATGGGTCCATTCCATTCCTATGTTTGGATGGACCAATTTTTTTGTTAGAATGGAATATAATTTAACCAAAATACCCCTAATGACAAGGGATTAGTAGCTATTTTTGATAGTATAACATTTTCAAATGAATTTGGATAACATACCCCAAAAAATAAGTAAACTTATTGATTTTAAATCTAATAAATCCACACATACACTCAAATACCATCATAACCAACAAATTCAGCCAAATATATAATAAGATGTATTAAAACTAATTTATTTTTGTTGGAAGATATCATAATTATGTACAAAGAGTATCAAAATCAAAAAAAAAAAATTAATAATAATGATAAATGCCCACAAAATACATCTCAGCCTTCTATCAATTCAAATTTGGATAACATAAAACTCTATTCACAAGAGACAATACCCACCATTCATTCCTCTCACTTTAAATCCTCCCTCACCTTTAAATCGATATTGATGATGATGAAAGGCATAGGGTCTCTCTTTTGGCTAAGAAAGGCATTTCTTAATGAACATCTTCACCTTGGGACTTGTTGCATTGTTCATTGCCTGAGGCCTCACTCCATATATAACATTTTTGTATATCTTGGCAACACTGTCACATTCACCATACAAACTCAAGCATATACATCCCAAATGAGTAAATATCAATCATCTCAACATAATTATCGTTGTATCGTTCAAATGATGTTAATTAAACAAAAATAGGAGGATAAAAAAGGCTAATACACACAAACAAGAAATTCAAGGAGAACCCATAATGCAGATTTTAGCAAATTACAGAAAAATCATTTTGGTCATAACACATACAAAATTCAAGAAAATAGAGCACAACCATAGCAAATTCTCTATACAAACACCATATATACAGATACAAATACTAAAATACATATACATGAATTTAAATGAATTCTTATAGGATTGTCTTTGCTTGCAACAAAACTCTATCACTTTATGACATGTGCTGATGTGCACCTCTTGAGTACTTCCTCTTTCCTAAACTTTTCACGCAAGATTTTTATTCCGGAGAAAATGGTAAGTGATAAATCCACATTCATGTTGGCCGATCAAGAAAAGAAAATCAATTTGATCATCAAGCTCCTAAAATTTCAAACAAAATTGAATTGAGAAGAATAGAGGAATAATCAGATCAACAACTTTTTTTTTTCATTAGGGACGCTAGATTGCAGAGTTAAAAACTAAACCATGAGAAAACCGCAAGGTGCCCATGGATCTAGGAAGCTCAAAGGACAAACAGCAAATTTATTTTGACTTTTCACACCCTGCACAAAATGATTGATATTCACCCTAGCATCAAAAGGCGAAGGAAAACATAATATGCAATTGAACAAGCAGAGGGTTCATGGTGATGTATGTCAATCTACTAATTTTCAGGAATCTAAATACAAGCAAAGCAAGGATCTTGGGAACTTCTAACAACCACATGATATGAACTTCATCAGAATAAACTTACCAAACATTGTAGTGATGCATAAAAACTCCCCCTGAACCAATACCCATATGCCAAATTGACTACGAGAAAGAAAACATAAGGGCAAAAGATCAAAATATCGTTTCGGTGTATTGTTTCGATCACCTAAGAAACGGAAACATTTCGATGTGTTTCAGAAACATTCCGATCCATTTTAAAAATAGAATGAAAAAAATAAAAAATTTAAGAATTATTTTTTCAAAGTATTGATCGAAATATACTAAAATATCTTAAAATATTTTAAAATATTCCAAAATAATTGTGCAAATATATTAAAATATAACAAAACATTTCAAAACATTAAGGAACAACTCGAAATATTAGAATTTTGATTCTATTACCGATTCGTTTCGGCCTCCTTGAAAATAGAAACATTTTGGATGTTTCGACCATTTTGAAACAATATTTTAATCTTTGCATAAGGGGCATAAAGTCAACCATTACAAAAAGTTGGCACACGTCCACTTCAAAATGTTATCCATGGAACAAGTTTCATTTTACAGAACAAATCCATTGAACCTTTAAATGGAGAAAGAGGAAGGATAATGGCATGCACTTTATGTCCCAGCATGGCAAAACCTTATTTATCAGTTATCACCAACCAGATGAGAGATTTTTATAAGAAATGGCTAGCATTACTAACTCATTTCTAATTTTTTCCATTCATTTCCCCTTATTTATCTTAACTAGTCAGATGTAATCGGTAACAACCTAGCTCAACTGGAGTTTTAACCCCATGATTACGCAGCGCTGTGAACAATGCTGTAGTATCCCTTTAGGTAAGAGGCTAACTACAATATCATGTAATTCTTCCCAGAACTAAGTTTAATATCTTACATGCATGTACCATAATCTATGCCAACATTTCTAAGTAAAAACACGATCCTTCGTCTCCCCTAATTGTCCCATCATAAGTACATTTCTTTGATGATATTGTCCTTAGTTTGTTGTTATCCAACACAATTTTTAAGATTATTTTTCATTATACCATATTCCAGGGTTCTCCCAATAAAACATGTGGTAATAGACAGGCACAAAATTACAGCTAACCATACAACGGTAGAAACCATTTCTATGTTGGAGCGCAAGTCAATAGAATAATCTCAAATCTCACCTGATATACTAGAAGTACCAAGATCAAACTGTACCCCAGTGAACCCAGAACATCACTATTTAGAATATAGAAAAACATAAAAGAGTAAGAAAAGAGATGTCATTCTTCGTAGCTCGTGAGGAAATATGTCCCCCAGGAGTAAATCCCTCGGTTTCAACATGTATTTTTGGCTAGCCTCAATATTCATATCACTTCGTTCCTTTTGTTCTTTGCTTTTTATATAAGGTGGTATTATCGAAACTGTAACCTCACAGAAGTCTAGGACCCAATGAATGTCAATTCCAAACTAAGTAATTGTTAATCATTCAACAAACCATTTAATCAATACTGTATCACAGCAAGTCAACCACAAGCACACTTTCAATTTAAAGAGAAGAAAAAGTTAAAAACAGTATATTTGCTTATGTCAAGCAACTCAAATCAAAACAATTTGACAGCCTGGACTGGGCGTACATGTGTGGGCTAAATGAATTTCATTCCACATGCATCAACATCTGGAAACATAACTTTCAGTAACTTATATGCTACTTTCCGTACTTCGTCTAACTACATCAATTCTGGTGGACAATATGAAATATGCACTTTTCCCACTAATGCAGTATTGCCAGTATTCATGTTCGTAGAGTCATTTTCTTAAAAGACACCAAATACACCAAGAGTTGTTTATTATCATACATCAAAGTCAATTTTATTATTACTCCTACCTCCCTTACAGAGCTTGTGCACGGGAGCTTATGTATCTCTGTGTTTGTGTGTGTGTGTGAGTGAGAGAGAGAGAGAGAGAGAGAGAGAGCAAGAGCAATAGACAGACTTTATGAAGATGTCATCCCAGTATTTGACTGCATGCAATACTCGGGTCTAAAGGATCTTTGGAAAGACAAAATCAAAAGAAAATACACTAGAGCTTGGGGTGGCCTACATAAGGGCCTCTTCAGAATGGGATACTGTATCTTCAGGGGAAAAACGAAGAAAGAAATCTGACCCTGTACTTTCTTTATGAAAAAATTGAATCTTGCAGGCTCCAACAAAAACCTTTACAAACGTCAGGTTGTAGGCATTGCAAAATGCTTGAGAAAATAAATTAAAGACACAACGTATCAACAAGATCCACAACTATTTTCCTATATG